TCAACCCCCCGCCCCCAGGTCACGATCCACAGCCCACCTACCACACATATGAACACATACATAAATATACACAGAACAGAAAACCTCTGTCTGTCTGAGCGCTGAACAGCTGCACAATAATCAGGCTGGGAGTGATGCTTGGTGCACTCTGCTGCTCGTCGGTGTCTGGTTTCACACATCTTTATTGTACCAGAAATATTTCATCCTCAGTGAACAGAATCTTGACGTTTTGCGGTTGCATTTCTGAATGGACAAATCATTAATGGATGTCGTTCTTGTTACCGTGTAGCTGTGACATTAGTACTGGTTTTTATAAGGTGGGTATTCAATGGAAAGCGACTCACTGAATTCTTTTCCATTTGCTGCTTAAAACACTCAAATCCAACATACACAAGCTTGACTGTGTAGTGTCACATCATTTGCACGTCCTGGAGGCGTCATAAAGACAGAAGAAGTTAAAGTACAGCTGCAGAATGCGCCAATAGGAGGTACAAATGTGATGTTTAATTACAGCTTTTCTGAAGCTCCAGCGCTAGGAAATGGAAAAGCTGCATATCTTAATACAGCAACACATATCAAGCAGTGTTCACGCGCACATTGATGCCACCAGTGTGTGTGTTGACATTGAAAACCATATGGATATGGTGTTTTAACACATCATGTGCTACCAGTGAGTGTTACTCCTTCGAGTGTGGATTCACTTTGGGGGATTGGAAATTTACTGCTTTATTTAGAATATAACGGCACCTTTACTGCCAGAGTCATTGAGGAAACACCCCCAACATGGCATATACATTTAAAAATGACTTCTGCATTTGTCAGACTATTGGTACAGTGTTCTGTGTTTGCTGGAAGCAATCCAAACTTTTTCGGCGTGTGTGCTGCGGGCAAGCAGATTTTATTAGAATGGATGAGCTGCCATGTTGAGAAACATCAGGCTGCTTGTTAAGATGCAAGAGGAGTAAAGTGCAGAAGAAACTTTCAAAATAACGAAAGGACTCTCTTTGTCTCCCTCTTACACACAAGCCTGGAACCACACAATTACATTGAAATGTCAAAGTGCTGGGCTTAGTATGCTGTGACAATACAAATGTATTATTCTATCAAATACAATAAGTTTTCTAATTTGGCCATACAGTGTAACATTAGGGAAAACGAGAATTGCCTGCAGTAATGAGGGAGAGACGCAGACATTCATTCAGACAAATGAGTGTCATTACTGTAAACGACTGAGAGCATCACTGAGCAGACTGGCAGGCTCTACCAGCCCGAGCAGTGCGGGACACCAGGTTGGCTTTGGAGGGAAATCTGCCGGATCACTTTATGATACGAAACAGGACGACATCGCTGTTATTCCAAAGAACACCGAGCTTCAGGTTTCAGAGATTTTGGTGACAGCAGATGGTGGAAAGAATTGTAAATTTGGTTTCAAACACAAACAATCCCACCTGAATTACATTAGCTGAAGGCCAACAGCATGATCTCGATTGTAAGCATTTCATCCTCGTTTCCTCTGGTACAACATTTCTAGGGAGTGTCCCGGCCTGTGTGCAAACAGTTCTGGATTCTGGAAACCAGTGAGGCAACATATGTAGTTCACAGCTGCCTCTTTGATTCGCGCCTTTGACTTGATTCTTCTCCAAAGCAATGCCAGCTGAGGCTCATTTTGTATTTTGAGCTATCTAGCATGCCAAATCACAAAGCTGAAAGGAGCAGAACTGGTGGCCACAGCATTAAACTACCAGTGTGTGGTTGCTACTTATCCAGAACAGGACACGGATTAACCACAACATTAAAACCACTCACTAATATTGTCGCCTAAACAGCACTGACCCTGTGAGTCCTGGGCCTCACAGACCTCTGACAGAGACCTGTGGTATCAGGTGCCAAGATGTCAGCAGCAGGTCTTTTAAGGAGGTGCAGCCTCCATGGATCAGACTTGTGTTTCCAGCAAATCACACACGCACGATTGGACTCAGAGCTAAGGATTTGGAGGCAGAGTCAGCATCTTTAACTTTGTGTCATGTTTCTCAAATCAGCCTTTGGTGATGGCGGCGCGCATAGACGCAGCGGCCCCTTCAGGAGACAATGAAAGTGAAGGTTTTGAGTGTCTTGTCTATCCCAGACGTTCATTCCGCAAAACTTGCGGCCGGGAGACTTTGCTGGGAGTCAGGACAGTGAACGGTGCTGGAATTGCGGCGATCGGTTGTGATTTGGACAAACTACACCAACACGGAGTCTGATCAGAGACTATGTCGGCAGTTACCCGAGAGAGAAGGAAGTGCAAACGATACGAACGTAAACAAAGGAGGAGGAAGAGAGTCGGGAGCCACGCTAAAGACTAAATGCTAACCCCTCCAGACCAGCAGGACCGTCCTCCTACTCTCCAGTGTCCGTTCTCTCGGCAACAAGCTGGACGAGCTACGTTTGCTAAGAGAAACCCTCAGAGAGTGGAGGGACTGCTGTGTGTTTGCTTTAACAGAAACATGGCTCCATGACGACATCCCAGACGGACATACAGCTGGAGGGGACAACATCGTTCCAGGTGGACAGAGATACAGCTAGCTCTGGGCAGCATCTCAAATTTCTCAAATTTAGTTGTGCTTCTCGTCCAATGACAATAAAGAGATTCTGATTCTGAGCATCTGCGGCTTCACCATCGTCACACCATCGTGTGTGTCTTTGTGTCCCTGAAGACCTACCAGGACCTGAAGAGGTTCACCATGTTCAACATGATGGCAGCGCGAATGGACGCAGCGCCCCCTTCAGGAGACAGCGAGAGTGAACGTTTAGTGTCTTGCCTATCCCAGACGTTCATTCCGCAAAACTGAACCCTGAAGAAACTCTCTCTCATCTTGCCTGTACCACTGTGTATGTACAGCAACATGACAATAAACTTTTGGTGGCTACAAACCACTGCATACTGGGAACACCCCACTGCTGTTTTGGAGGTGCTCCGACCAAATCGTCTAGCCATCCCAGTTTGGTCCTTATCAGAGTCGCCCAGATCCTCACACTTGATCATTTTGACAGGCTCCTTGTAATTGAGACAACTGATTTTATTCACTTCACCTGTCAGTGGTTTTAAAGTTGTTGCTCAGTGGTGTTGTCGTTAAAAGAAAAATATAGGGGGAGAACATTAGCTGCTCCTTCCTCCTAGCCTTTTGTTGCCTGTGTTTGACATTTGAGAGTGTAGCGATAAGCAGGAAAGCATGATGGAGAGAGAGGAGTATACAACATGCAACACTACCTCTAATATGTATGTATGTATATATCTAGATTTGCATTATTTCTTATATTTATATGTACATTTTCTCTTTTTTTTTTTTTTCCCTGTCTCGTATGTGTACCTCTGTTGAATGCTGCTATCAACAATGTGAATTTCTCCACTGTGATATAAATAAAGGCATATCTTATCTGTGTCAGTGGAGCCAACTGGTTCAACAGCTATTGAACCAGAGGAAGAACGGGCTACCAGTAAAGGTGGAATCCGCTGACAATTGCCACTGAAACTTGCCTGGGCTTGTACAGTGCATAAAGTGCAAGGCATCCCTGTTGATAGGGCTGTAGTTAGTTTGAAAAAGGCGTTTTCTGCAGGACAGGCAGATGTGGCCTAAAGCAGTGTTAGAAATCTGTCAGGTTTGGTCATTCAGGGTTTTGAGCAGAAAACTATATACTGTAGGGATGATGTGAAGGATGCCATTGAGAGTATGCCAACATTTTTGAATGAGGCCTATACATAAAAACCTATCTGCACATGCAGCAGATTTGGCATTGTGCACACAGCATTTACAGCTTAACTGTATTGCTGCAACGG